TTGAGAACCTGGAGATCAGCCCATCTACCTATGGTCAATTGATTTTTGACAAGGAGATGAAATCAGTTAAATAGGGAAATTACAACCTTTTTAACAAATGGTGTTGGCAAAACTGGAAAAGTATCTGCAAAAGACTCAAGCAAGATCCACACCTCTCTCCATATACAAAAAACAACTCAAGGTGGATCATGGATCTAGGACTAAAACCAAGGACTTTAAGCTTCATTAAAGAAAAGCTTGGAAGAACTCTAGTAGTCCTAATCCACAACATAAAAAGTCTTCCAAGTATCCTGAGAAATCTACAACCAGGAGAAGAAAAAACAGATGAATGGGGCCTTCTAAGAATCAAATCCCTATGCACATCCAAAAACTTCTCCAACAGGGTAAAAAGGGAAGCCACAGACTGGGAAAAAGTATTTGGGAATGACATGTCAGATAAAGGACTTCTATCTAGAATTTATAAAATACTTGAGCACCACAACAAGATAAAGGTAAATAATCCAATTGAAAAATGGGCACAGGATATGAACAGTCACAAAAGGACAAATACTGCATGGTGCCACTGTTGTAAAACAGGACTGACCTTGGGGTTGGGGAGAGACTGAGAAAGATGGGTTCAACAATGCATTGAAACAGATGAGGGAGAAAACTGTTTAAAAGGGATATATGATTAGGTATCTTTGTCATGACAGGAGTCCAGAGAGAAGGCTACATGGTGGAGTGGACCTGGGTGAGGGTTTTTAAAACAATGAAAGAATTTTTCTTTTACTTTTCCAAGAGGGTAGTGTACTAGGGCGGAGAGTTGGGAGGGGAGAAAAGTGCAACAGTGAATGAATGGAAATCCAAAGTCTCTGTAAATTTTTACTGAAATTAATAATAAATATAAATTAAAAAAACATAAAAAACAACAATAACAAACAAAAAACCCCCACAACAAAATTGCTTTCCTAGCCCACTGCCTTCCACTTTGTCACAAGGCTGAGTGGGAACATACCAAAAAGGTGCACTGGTCTATCTGTACACAATTTGCCATTTTCACCATTCTGCCAGATTTAAATTGAGCAACAGGAATTTTGGGAATCTCACTACCAGTAGAAGCATTAGCAGAGACTGCAGCATATGTCCTCTGGGGCAGAGATGCCAATGCCAGTCAGACCTACAGGACAGCAGCTGCCGCCACCACCGCAGAGAACCCAAAGTAGGACTGCTGCCCCATGAAGCCAGCTTCAGGGGCCGAGGTCCAAGAATGCAGCAGAATGGAATGAGGGGAGGCATTGATATCAGAATTGGCAGCACTAAGAGAGCTCCCCCCCCCAATTTTTTTTCTATTAGTTTATTTACAAAATTTGAATATATTGTTTTCAAGAACAAATGATTTCAATTTCCCTCATCACCCTGCACATCCTCCTCCCTCTGCTTCCAACCTCTCCCACCCCTCTTGGATTCTTATACTCATTCTGCAATAATGGTTTTATACAATATTTATCCTTGTGGGACTGAGTTAGTTCACTCAGAATAATGCTCTCCAGTCCCTCTCAAGTTAGGTAATTTACAAAATCATTGCTCCTGAATGCTGCATAGTATTCCGTGTGTGAATATACCATAATTTCTCAATCCATTCATTTGTGTTTGGACATTTGGACTGTTTTCATGCTCTTGCTAAGGTGAATAATGCTGCTATGTCATTGGTGTATAAATCTCCATTTGTGCCGCAGTTCTTATTTTCTCAGCATATATTCCAAATAGTGAAATAGCTGGGTCATACGGAATTTCTATGTTCAGCTTTTTACCTCTCTTTTTTTTTTAAAGCTAATTTTAATTAAAGTTTACAGAGACTTAGGGTTTCCAGTCATTCATTGTTGTACTTTTCCCCCTGCCCGCCTTCTCCACCCAATTCACTCTTCTCCATGAAGAGTAACAGAAAAACTCTTTCATTGTTATGCAATCCCTCCCCCCACATCCACTCCACTGTGCAGGCCTTCATTCTGAATTCCTGTAATAACAATAATACCCAATCATATATCCCCTTTTTTTCATATATCCCTTTTAACACGTTGCTGCACACTTTCAAATTGACGACCATGCTTAGAAACACATTTGTCGACATCCAAGCAGATATATGCACACCCATGTTTATTGCAGCTTTGTTCACAATAGCAAGGAGTTGGAAACAACCTAAGTGCCCATCAACAAACG